GTATCTTTTATTGCAAGTATGTATTTGGTTGGCTATGACTACAGCATAGAATTCAGGTTCATATAGTGGGTGTAAAATGGTTGATTATACTACATCATTCTTGATCATAGTATTAGTTGTCTAATAGCAGCTGTGAGTATGAGCTATATCTCGATTTTGGAACTTAACTCTGTCAAAGAAATTAGTAATATTACCAAAGCCTGTGAGTTCAGACTTTTTGTAAAGTTCTTTTTTTAATGATTAAAATTTATATACAAAATGGTTTGTACAGTGAAATGATTTATTTGTTGATAGTATATCACAATTGTTATTAGTAGAAAGTATAGTATGAAGATGAGTTCATTGGCTTTTTGCTATACTTAAAGTTATAAATAGAGTAGATAAACCAAATTTTTGTATTATAGTATTTAGATGGAGTTGTCTTTGATAGAAATAGATATCACCTGTATGTATAAACAACAGAATAAGGGTAGTTATATTTTTATTAATTATATTATTTGGGGTATAGATGCTAGAGTAAAGTAGATCTCTTTCTAATAGGAGGGCTTATTGTTAGTGAGAGTTGGGTTGGTGGATTGAATTATTCTCTGTATATTCTGATGATGTTTTAATTTTTCTAACTGCAGATAGGACCAGGAAGGCTAGTAGGTATAAAGTCTCTATCTTGAATCAATGTTCATTAAGTATAATTTAATATATTTGCAATAAGTCTTATCATGAAGCTTGGTTTCTAATGTAGAGTGGTTCGAAATATTATGAAAATGATCTTTTTTATCCATAACTAGGTCAGGAAAAAGTAAGAGTTCTAGATTGAGATCATAGGTAGAAATAGGTAAATATAGAGTATCACTTTCTTGGATAAAACTTGCTATTAACCTAGTATAGTAAAAATTTTCATTGTAAACTTCATTAGAAAAATCATAATTTGGTACTATTATTTTATAAGAACTGACAGGAAAAACATCATTACTGGTTTGGACATGTTGTGTTCTTGAAAAAGGTTCATTTTGGTTATATTGTAATAAGAGAATAGCGAATAGATGAAAGTAAGGGTTATTTTCTGCTAATCAGTTAGCAGCATGTTGTAGAGCTTGGTCATAAGTTAGATTATTAACTGAACTGTTATTATTATTATTGTCCGGATCTAGAAAAGTATCTAAAGTTCCAGAGTATAATATATAAGCTCTAGTATTGTGTAAATAGTTCATAACTTCAGTTAGGCTTTTGTATTTAGTGTAGAGATTACTATTTGGGGTTCTACCCAGAGAACACTAGCGATAAATGTTTTCTTATATATAAGAGAACAGAAGTAATTTCTTCTAGCATAGGAGAAAAGTAAGGAAACAAAAATCTTGTTGTAGGTTTCTTGCAAGAACTACAAGTAGGTACTCTGGGTTGCATGGTAGCACTAGTAGAGAGATGAAAAGATAAGGAAACTTCAGAAATATGCTGTTGTATAGGGTAAGTAACTGATTTATTATAAAGTATTCAAGACACTTTTTTAGGATATAGTAGAGTTCCACAGTACACGCAAGCAATTTGAGACCATTGACTTGGAATTTTATTTTAGAATTTATTATATACTCTTTGGAGTTCTGTTGAGAGTTTCCAATATATAAGTGTTTGAAAATTATTATTAATTGCATTAAATGACACAGAGTTAGTAATGTTATTTGACTTATTAGACTGAGATATGAACTGAAAAGTTAGATCTAATAGCGATTTGTCTTGGTATTCATCATCGAATATATATATGTTGTAGAGCTTGTATGTTATTTTTTACTTGTTTTATTTTAATTTTTTTGTTTGCTAACTATATATATTATAATGTTGGGTCGAATTTGATTTCAAATTTTTTAAGATGAATTTTGAAATTTAATCAAGGCTAAAAAATAAGGTTTAAATATTCTTTTACAAATACTCTTTCATTTAATAGTAATTAATTAACTTTTTATATTTTCTGCATTAAAATAATTGGCTTTGAATATATATTTATTCAATTTAAATCAAGCTTATGTTTTTGAAGAAATTTATATAGATAATAGTCATTATTTATAATATTTTTTATTGTAGTTTTTTTGTATTTAATTTTTTAAGAGTTGGTGTTTTAGATTCAACTTCTAACAGATAATTTATAATAATATAATTAAATATATTACTTTTTATATTTTTGCACTAAAGTAATTAGCTTTGAATATATATATACTTGATTTATCTAACCAGGCTTGTGTTTTCGAAGAGATTTATGCAATAGTTGCTATTTATAGCATTGTCTCTATTGTGGTTATTTGGTAT